CTGACCCTGCCTGTCTGCATGTCTACCTGTCCACCTGTCCTCCTGTCTGTCTGTCGTCCTGTCCCCCTGTCCTGTCTGCCTGTCCACCTATCCACCTGTCCACCTGTCCTATCTGCCTGTCTGCCTGTCCTCCTGTCCTCCTAGTCTGCCTGTCCACCTGTCCACCTGTCTGCCTGTCCTCCTGTCCTCCTGTCCTGTCTGCCTGTCCACCTGTCCACCTGTCCTCCTAGCCTGCCTGTCCAGCTGTCCACCTGTCCTCCTGTCTACCTGTCCTGTCTGCCTGTCCACCTGTCCTCCTAGTCTGCCTGTCCACGTGTCCACCTGTCTGCCTGTCCTCCTGTCCTCCTGTCCTGTCTGCCTGTCCTCCTGTCCACCTGTCCTCCTGTCCTCCTAGTCTGCCTGTCCACCTGTCCACCTGTCCTCCTGTCTACCTGTCCTGTCTGCCTGTCCACCTGTCCTCCTGTCCTCCTAGTCTGCCTGTCCACCTGTCCACCTGTCTGCCTGTCCTCCTGTCCTGTCTGCCTGTCCACCTGTCCACCTGTCCTCCTGTCCTCCTAGTCTGCCTGTCCACCTGTCCTTCTGTCTACCTGTGCTGTCTGCCTGTCCACCTGTCCTCCTGTCCACCTGTCCACCTGTCCTCCTGTTCACCTGTCCTGTCTGCCTGTCCACCTGTCCTCCTGCCCTTCTATGTGCCTTTTTACCTGTCCACCGGTCCACTCTGTCCTCCTAGTCTGCCTGTCCACCTGTCCACCTGTCTGCCTGTCCTCCTGTCCTGTCTGCCTGTCCACCTGTCCTCCTGTCCTCCTGTTCACTTGCCCTGTCTGCCTGTCCACCTGTCCTCCTGCCCTTCTGTGTGCCTGTCTACCTGTCCACCTCTCCACCTGTCCTCCTAGTCTGCCTGTCCACCTGTCCACCTGTCCTCCTGCCTACCTGTCCTGTCTGCCGGTCCACCTGTCCTCCTGCCCTTCTGTGTGCCTGTCCACCTGTCCACCTGTCCTCCTGTTTACCTGTCCTCCTGTCCACCTGTCCGCCTGTCCGCCTCTCTCCCGTCCACCTGTCCACCTGTCCTGTCTGCCTGTCCACCTGTCCTGTCTGCCTCTCCACCTGTCCACCTGTCCTCCTGTCCACCTGTCCTGTCTGCCTATCCACCTGTCCTCCTGTCTGCCTGTCCACCTGTCCATCTGTCCTCCTGTCTACCTGTCTACCTGTTCTCCTGCCCTTCTGACTGTCCTCCTGTCCACCTGTCTACCTGTTCTCCTGCCCTTCTGACTGTCCTCCTGTCCACCTGTCCTGTCTGCCTGTCCTCCTGTTTACCTGTCCTCCTGTCCACCTGTCCCACATCCACCTGTCCACCTGTCCTGTCTGCCTGTCCACCTGTCCTGTCTGCCTGTCCACCTGTCCTCCTGTCCTCCTGTCCACCTGTCCACCTGTCCTGTCTGCCTGTCCACCTGTCCTCCTGTCCACCTGTCTGCCTAGTCTGCCTGTCCACCTATCCTCCTGTCTGCCTGTCCTCCTATCCTCCTGTTCACCTTTCCTCCTGTCCACCTGTCCACCTGTCTGTCTGTCCTCCTGTCCACCTGTCCTGTCTGCCTATCCTCCTGTCCACCTGTCCTCCTGTCCACCTGTCCTCCTGTCCACCTGTTCTCCTGCCCTTCTGCCTGCCTGTCCTCCTGTCCACCTGTCCTCCTGTCCACCTGTCCTGTCTGCCTGTCCTACTTACCTGTCCTCCTGTTTACCTGTCCTCCTATCCTCCTGTCCACCTGTCCTCCTGTCTGCCTGTCCACCTGGCTACCTGTTCTCCTGCCCTTCTGTCTGTCTGTCCTCCTGTCCACTTGTCCTGTCTGCCTGTCCTCCTGTTTACCTGTCTTCCTGTCCTCCTGTCATCCTAGTCTGCCTGTCCGCCTGTCCTCCTGACCACCTGTCCTCCTGTTTACTTGTCCTCCTGTCCGCCTCTCCTCCTGCCCCTCTGTCTGCCTCTACACCTGTCCTCCTGTCTGCCTGTCCACCTGTCTTCCTGTCCACCTACACATTCCACACTTTCAGCCTTGGCATCTCACGAGGTGCCCTGCCTGCTACTCCGGGTGGCCAGCATCACCTGCAAGGCAAGATATCTCAGTTCTGACACCTTCTCTCAGTTCACCCCATGGGAGGTGGCAGCGAAGTCAGCTGGAGGAGGAGGGCCTGGATGCAAGGGTGGTGGCCACAGGCAGAGTCTGTGGGGCAGACAGTTACTGAGATCTGCTGGCAAATGACAGCCAAAGACACACACAAGAAGAAGCTCTCCACAGAGTGCAGAACCGGCCTGTGTTCCAGGCGCATCTTGGAGTGCCAAGCACACAGGCCTCATGGCCGTTTGCAGGTGTTTGTGCATTATGGCTCCTTTGGTGGGGATGAAACAGGGCCAAGAAGCAGAACACAGAGTCAATAACACAGCAGGGCCACAGCAACAAGGGCCCAGCCAGGCAGGCAGCCTCAGCCACAGGAAAATGAACCATCTTAGCAGAGCAAACAGGCCCCCAGAGCTCCCCTGCAGGACAGGGGATGTGAGGATGGGATCGGCCCTCACCCCCGCCCCCGCCGAAGTGTTCTTTGGGTCACATTGATCCTGACTGCCAGAGACGATGTGCTATTGACTCTGAGAGAAACACAACATTCTCAGCCAAAATCACAGGCAATAAAGACAACAGTGACTGAGTGGGCTGATGCATCACTTGCATACACAAAAAATAACATCCAAGCCCCAGAATTGCAGGGAGGGGAGAATGCCCAGGCACTGCTCAGAGGCAGTGCTTCCTGAGCTCCAGAGCCCTCCCAGAGCTATGCCTGGGGGAGGCACAGGACCCTGAATCCAGCTCAAATCAGGAAGGAGCTCCCCAGACAGAACAGGTGGGACAGGTGGAGGAAAACTCCAGTGATGTCCAGAGAGGAGCAAGGCACTTATCAAACCTTCGGACTCTAGAGCTGAGACTGGCAAACTATGGCCCACCCACCAGACACAGCCCGTGAGCTAAGAGTGGTGTTCGCATCTTTACAGGATTGGAAAGAGAAGATGATGGAAAATGAGAAAGAGGGGGGGAGAGAGAGAAGAAGGGGGAGAGAGAAGAGTCAAAGCCCAAATGTGGTCTGCAAAGCCTCTCTAGCCCTGTACAAAACAAAAACACAAAGGTTTGTCTCTGTGACATGGAAGGTAAGACAAGGCTAGAAACAGGTGCTGTCAAAGCCAGCAGTTTACAGGATAGAGAGCAAGAAAGCCTGGGAATATTGAAGTGAGGGGGTCACTCCCAAGTCCAGGAGCTCCAGAGAGGCCGGTGAGCCCCTTATAGGGCATGAGAAGAGAGCAGGATGAGGTGCTTGGGAGCCCTGTTTCCCCATTCCACTGGGAAATACTTGGGGGCTGCCCACATCCAGCCGTAGACGCAAACTCTAGAGGTGACGCCGCCGCAGAACCTCCTGCGATGGTGGAAATGAGCCAGGTCTACCCAATATGGCAGACAGAGCCACACGTGAATACCAAGCACCCGAAAGGCGGCTCACACACCTGAGAAACTGCATGTTATTTCATCTTCACTAATTTAATCTCTGCTAGCTATGCGTGGCTGGAGGCTCCTGTATGGAAAGTGCCCCAGCTCACCCAGACTTTGAAGTCCAGCTGTGACATGTCTCTGTGTGGCCTTAGACATACTGGCTGGCCTCACTGTGCCTCAGTTTCCCCTCTGTAGAATGAAGATAGTAACAACGCCTGCCCAAGGTTGTTCTGAAGACGTGTGGGTCACTTCACATGGAGCACTGAGAGTAGGCGGCACCCCTGGGGCACTCTGCAACGCCATGCGCCGTCCCTGCCCTCCGCCCAGAGATGCAAGGGTCAAGCTAATGAGCAAGCCAGGTCCCTGTCCTCAGGTAACTCCACAGTCCAGCAGGGGAACTGGATGCCAGTCAGATCACTGGGCAAACCCATGTCAAGTCATGACCGAGGCAGGGGTGCTGGGAAGGACATGGGGATGGGCCAAGTGGGGTAAGGAGAGGCAGGCACACCTGAGGCAGCGATGCTTGGGTGGACCCAGGAGGAGCTGACAGACGAAGGTTATTCGGCAAAACCACAGCAGATGCAGAGGCCCCATGGTGGGAGGGACTGGGACCGGCACAGGGAAGGCTGCTGCCGCTTGAGGGCAGATCACGCAGGCTGGGGTGGGTCGGAGGCCAGAGTGGGGTTGAAGCTACACCCTGCAGGGTCTCAGGGCCGAGACTTTAAGATGAAGGGTGTTTTCCTTCATCCTAAGGGTGGTGGGAAGACACTGAGAGGTCTCTCAACCCCAGCGCCTTTTTTTTTTTTTTTTTTGAGATGGAGTATCGCTCTATCCCCTAGGTTGGAGCGCAACGGCCTGATCTCAGCTCACTGCAACCTCCGCCTCCCAGGTTCTTGTGATTCTCCTGCCTCAGCCTGCCAAGTAGCTGGGATTACAAGCACATTGTAATTACAGCCAGTGCCAAAATACAAAAATTAACCACCATGCCTGGCTAATTTTTGTATTTTTAGTAGAGATGGGGTTTCACTATGTCGGCCAGGATGCTCTCTATCTCTTTACCTCCTGATCTGCCCACATCGGCCTCCCAAAGTGCTGGGATTACAGGCATGGGCCACTGCGCCGGGCCCCAGAGCACTTTTTAGTGATGTGCTGGGAGTCCCTTCTCCAGGTGGATAGATTAGAGTCTGTCCTTGTCCCTTCCCCAAACCACATCTGCTCCTGGCCACCAAGGCTGAGAACACACAGAGAGCACAGAGGGCCAACACCCAGCAGAAGCCCCCAGCCACAGCCTTGTCCATCCTTCCCATCACTGACCTGGCATCGCTGAGCACTGCTCTCCTCCTGCACCCAGTACTTCTGAGCAAGAACCTCCTTCTGGTGGTGGAAACTGAGGACCACCAGAGCAGAGGGGACCCCATGGGGAGATGTGTGGAGGCCCCTGCATGCCCAGCCAGTGCCAAGGTGCCCTGGACCCACCTCATTCACCTGAACGATGCCTGCACTGCCTCCAGATCAGTTGCCATCCCCCACCTGGCTCCGGTGGTCTCCTCCACGCTGCCTCTCCCAGCGTCTCTGGCTCTGCAGCACATCTTTGGGCTCTGAAAACAGAACCGGAGGGTTGACGACATGGAATCCTCAGAGCCAGAAGCCCAGAGTAACTGCACCCAACAAGCCACCACCCACCTCCCAGAAGCTCCCCCTCGGCACTCAGCCTGAGCAGAGGGTTGGGAGCAGCAGTGAGGACCCAGCATTGCATGCTGGCTGCTGAAGCTGTGACTGGCCCAGAGCACTCAGGGAGGGACCCCATGGCTGCTGCAGGGCACCCATGCAGGGACCCAGGTCAAGACCATGCAGAGGAGTGCGGCTGTGGGCCTGTCCCAGCGGAAGCTTGCTCTGGAGTCTGCACTTGAGGATGGCGGTCCATAGCCCACCTCAGCACCTTCACTCCCAGGACTGGCAGCCCACATAGTGCAATGCACTGTGCCAGCCTAAGTGCCCTTGGAAAGGCCTCTGCCGGGTCACAACCAGCCTCACACTCAGGCTGTGTCTGTGCATATGAGTGTGTGCTTAAGGCGTGGACACCGTATGTGCATTGTGTTGTATGTCTGGGGTGTGAGATGGTTTCGCTCTGTGGTCCCACCCAAATCTCATCTCAAAGGGTAATCCCCCTGTGTCAGGGGAGGGGCTTGGTGGGACAGGCAGACTTCCCACTTGCTGCTCCCGTGATAATGCGGGAGTTCTCACAAGATCTGATGGTTTAAAAGTGTTTGGCAGTCACCCCTCACGCTCTCCGTCTTGCTGCCATGAAAGACGTGCCTGGCTTCCCCTTTGCCTTCCACCGTGACTGTAAATTTCCGGAGGCTTCCCCAGCCATGCGGAACTGTGAGTCAATTAAAGCTCTTTCCTTTATAAACCACCCAGTCTTGGGTAGCTCATTAGAGCAGTGTGAAACTGGACTGATGCAGGGTGCATGTGAGTGTGTGTGTTAGCTTGGTTTCGATTAGGGAGGGAATGTAAGGAAATCAGAAAATGTTTCCAAACATTCTTGTCACCTGGTGCCCCTGGTCATCCCAGTCCTCTTAAAAGTCACTGTAGGTGAAAAGTTCCTCCCCATGAACAGTTGTTTAATGTTATCGAATAAGTAGGAAGATAAGATGGGACACTCACTGGGAGCCTGCTGGGCTGGGACCAGCATAGGGCAGCTTCCCGGCAAGCCTGTGAGTGCTGACAGCGCCATGCACCCACGCCCGCCACACGGCAGCCTGGCTCCTGGTGCCCGCCACCTGCTGCAGTGACAGACTCACAGTGACTATGTGAGTCTGAGCATATTCCGACCCAGCACTCTGGAGGTCGGAAGTCTGAGGGGGTCTCCCTGGGCCAAAATCAAGGTGTGGGCAGAGCAGAGCTGCATCCTTATGAAGGCTTCAGGGAGAATTGGTTCTGATGTGGCTTTCTTGCTTCCAGAGGCTGCAGCCCTCCTTGCCTGGGGGCCCCTTCCATTTTCAAAACCAGCACCCAGCAGGTTTAGTCTCTCTCACCCCTCTCTCCTGTGGGAATGCTTGGTGATGACATTGGACTCACAGATAATCCAGGAGAACCTCCTACTCAGGGCCGACTGATTAGTAACCCAATTCCACCTGCAACCTCAACTCCCTGTAACACTGTGTAACCTCACATGCCCACAGGTGATAGGGATCAGGACGGGGAAGTTTTGGGGGCTATTATTCTATTGACTGCACCAACATTCACCCTTCCCTAGTAAGACATTTCTCTCTTGCACCCAGTAGCCTTAAAATAAATGGCTGAAGAGCAGAGCTTTGAATGCAGACGATCCTCCAGGTCTCTCAGCACCTGCTATGCAACCTGAGCCTAGCGATCCCCTCAAAATCTCCTATCCAATCCAATCTGCCCAGGCTGCACACACACGCGGGCGGGGTCCCAGCAGGTACAGGAGAAGAAGACAGCCCGCCCTCTCCCGGCACACTTGCCACCTGCCTCTAGGGGGCCATGAGCCCGAGCCCTGGGTGTGAACCGTGCTCCGGACCCCTACTGTGGGCAAGGGCACCCACCCTATGCCCTGCTTGCTTGTCTTCAGGGTGTCGGTAACAACCATGTCTGCCAGACCCAGCTGTCAAAAGCATCAAGTGAGATCACACCCACAGGCTGTCGGGCCAGACAAGGGTTTTGGAAATGTTTCTATCTCTGTGTACTTTATGAATCTGCTTGGGAAGAGACTTTGGGTGGTGGAGTCCTGGTCCAGGGCAGTGGAAAAGGGGTGAGCACCAGCCTTTGCAGCTTCCCAGTTCACCTTCCCCATGCCCGATGAGGCTCAGAGAGATTAAGTCACCATTTCCAACCACCCAGGCCACGGGTAGAGACTTGGGTTTGAAAGAGAGCTGCTTCCCTCCAGCGTGCAGACCCTGCTGGGCGAGGAGGTGAGAGCTTTCAGGAGCTGCAGGGTCCTGGGGCTGAAAGGTCTTTTTTCCTTGTTCCTGGGATACATTCTAGATACAAAAGTGATGCTGTCAGCCTTTGTCCCACGGCCCCTCCTCACCTACTGGCTGGATTCCCAGGGACTTTGTCTGCAAAATAGAATCACACCACACTTATTTGGAGGAGCTGAAAGGTACCGCCAGACTGTGCTGTGATTAATACCTTAATCTACAGACTCCAGGCCGGGAGCTGGAAGCCTTCACCCAGAGAGGGCCCTTGGGGTGGGGTCCGCCCTGCCTGAGGATGCTGGGAGCCTCCTGCAAGGCTGAAATCCCAGGATCAGAGCTTCAGGCCAGGCTCCATCTCTTAGGAGATATTTTGGACACCTAAATCCCAGCTACATCCCAATGTCCCCAAAATAACCACCAGCTAGCACTTCTGAAAGTGCTGGCTGTTCTGTTTCCAATCAAACTGCCGCCATCTGACAGCTGGCCTGGAGGAGGAGGCTGTGGGAGCGTTCCGGGTCTCCTGGATCCAGGTCCACTTGCCACAAACCCCGGGTTGCCTTTGAGCCCCATTTTCCACATCAGATGTATAAGGACCCCAATGGTGCAACAGGGTTTCTTAAAATTGAGTTAAATAAAATACTCAAGACCTTTTTGAACAGTTTTGCCATTTAAAGCTTCCGATGAATGATGCTCCGTGATGGGGGAGGGGAACGTGGGGCCGCCAGGAGCACCCACAACCTCCAAAGGCCAGACTGGCCCTGGCCCATCTGGGCACCAGCTGTCCCCTGACCTGGGATATTTGTTTCCTCTTTTATCTATGCCTCATTCCACCAGGCAGATTCTGAGATAAACCTCGGCCCTCAACCGCAAACTCGCCTCCTTGGGGAACCTGCTTTGACTCCCCGGCTGACAGGTGCTATGCCCCTCCTCTGTGCTAATATCTGCAATTCAGGGCGGGGCTCATGCCTGTGATCTCAGCACTTTGGGAGGCTTAGGCGGGAGGACTGCTTGAGCCCAGGAGTTTGCGACTGGCCTGGGGAACATAGAGACCCAATCTCTAAAAATGAAAGAAAACAATATCTGCAATCCACTCATCACATCTTATTCCGTCACTTCCCGTATTCTGTTCATTCTGTGTTCTGTCCTCCACTAGGTATGGCCCACCGCTCACCTATCTTCAGCTCCCTCTCTCCTCCCATCCTCCTCCCCCTTCTAATGCCTCTCTCTCTTCTCTCTTTCTCTCTCTTACTATCTCTCTCTATCTCTCTCTCTCTCTCTCACTCTCTCTCCCTCCCCTCATACATGCAGCACTGGGCATTGCATGGGCAGCTCAAGAGTCTGGGCCCTGACATGGTCCCAGCCAGCCCTTCCCCTGGACTCACCCAGCTTCCCTTTCCCCCAGCCCTGTGGGCACTTCCTATGTGGTAGCATGGAATATCCGAACAACGTGCACTCAAATGTTGAGCCCAAATAAAATTAACAGTTAATAAAAGCAACTGCTTCTATCAGGGCGCTCCTGAGTGAAACTGACCCTTCCGTCTTCCTGTGAATGTCGGCAGGTGCAGAACACAATGTCGACTAGTGGGAGTGTGGAGTCACCACCACCATTTGTTCTGGGGCACCCACAGTGTCCACCATCGCTACCATACATCAGGGCCACTATGGCACCGCAAAGAAGGAAAATACCTTAAATAATACCACTAAGGTATTACACCTTATTTTGAACTATTTAAACTATGGCCACTGACCAGAACTTCCAGGATCCTGCTTCCCCATGTCCCAGGGATAAAGTATAAGGCACTATACCTAAGTGATATTATTTATTTTTGAGCACACAGGCACTTGAAAAATATCCTGGGGACCCCTGGGGTCAGCAGACCAGACTCAGAAAGTTGCTTCCCTAAAAAGAGGGTTGGTTTCTCTCCTTTCACACGGGCCCTCTCCAGTTCATTTCCCCCTGGAAATATTCCACAGGCTTCATATCCAGGGAGAATAAAGTGCCCACAGCACAGTGTCCAGGCAGCTCTCACGCCTTCCTGTCCCAGCATCCTGCCACCGCTGTGCCCGTCTCTCTCCGAACACCAGATGCCCACGTTCCTTCAGCCCCTCTGCGTGCTGCGTTTGTTCCAGGGGAAGAGCCTTGCCCTGCCATGCTCTAACCGAGCATGCTCTGCCCTCAGACTTTTGCCCACCTGGCTCCTTATTCTGCTTAGAAGCCTCTCCTGTCCTTGCGTGTCTTCCCACCCAGCCACGTTGCTTGATTTCGTTGTCATGGCAGCATCTGCCACGATCAGAAGTTCAGTATTGGTTTGTGTGAATGTTTACTTTCCGTCTCCCCACTACAAGACAAGATCCCACGAGGGCAGAGGCTCCTCTCCAGGAAACTCCTGTGTCCCCAGTGCACGAACTGCGGGAGACCCCATTTGGTCCTCAGTAGACTTCTATGTTGTTGTCATAAGCCAAGACATAGGCTGGAGGTGGGGAGCGGAGTGGAGGGGAAGGGACAGTGTGCCACCGTCCCCTCATCCCTCCCTTCTTCCTGCTGACACCTGAGTGGGAGAGGATGGGTCGGTCCAAGCAGATCTTACAGCTTAGGGGATGTGGAGCCCGGGACATGGGGAAGCAGGATGCTGGAAGTTCTGGCCAGTGGCAATAGT